CAAAGAGACTCTGGGTCCCACAGAGGCCTCTCATGCAGTTAAGCAGTCCACACTCAATGAGTAAGACAAGTCTTGTTGGCTCTTCTAACCATTGTTTGGAAACCACTAATAAAGATGGGGAACTGCTAAATATTGTGGAGACCCAAAGTTCAAAGACAGTTCTTAAAACAAATGCTTTTTTTAAACAAATTATCCAACTAGCAGTCAAAAGAGGATCCCATAAAATGGATTTTGTGTCCAATAGCTTGGTTTGGGGAACATAGGTCTTTCAGGCTTTGACTTGATGTTTCTACGATGCATGCATAAGGCTTCAGGACTTCTGCAAAGGCTGGAGAAAAACAGCATCCTAGGTTCCAGTTTAGGGTTGACTAGGTATACGACACGGGTGTCTAAAGTTCCATAGTGAGAAGCAATTGGGTTTTCTGAAACACTGTCAGCAGAAGATGTAGACTCTTGACATTACTGAAGAAGGGAGACTTTTACAGGAACAGGGTCTTGGAGGTAAGTCTTGCATATCAAGTGTTCAACAGAGATGGTCCCTGCATTACCCACCCCTTGAGCCATGTTTTACCTACCTGGGTGGAGGAGCCCTAAAACCAGTAATTTGCAAAGACTTCATGCCTCCTTTCTATTCTCACTCTTTGTCCGCAGGGGGAGTTGACCATGACCAGTGACATGGAGAACTTACAGAATGCTCTGTACCTAGACATGGTGCCAGAGACCTGGGCAAAGCGCGCTTACCCCTCCACGTCAGGACTGGCAGCCTGGTTTCTGGACCTTCTCAACCGAATCAAGGAGCTGGAAGCGTGGACAGGCGACTTTGTAATGCCCTCCACTGTGTGGCTGACAGGCTTCTTCAACCCCCAGTCATTCCTGACTGCCATCATGCAGTCCATGGCCCGCAAAAATGAGTGGCCACTGGACCAGATGGCCCTGCAGTGTGATGTTACCAAGAAGAACAGGGAAGAATTCAGGAACCCACCTCGAGAGGGGGCTTATGTCCATGGCCTCTTCCTGGAAGGTGCTCGCTGGGACACACAGGTAAACCCAGGGCTAAGGGAAAAGGTAGCCTCTCCTGAGATGGTTAAATAGACTATATTGTCTCACACAGTGTGTGAGATTACAAGTGAATCTCTTAGCCTGGGTAACTTTCTTTCCTTGAGGCTAAGAAGCTACCTGGATGCGACCGGGTATGGTGCGAAGACCATGGGCTGTACAGTAGGTAGAGAATGGAGAGACTAAGCATTGCCTCTGGACATAGA